AGCTCCTTAATGAGCTCGGTCTTGGAATGAATTAACTCGTAAGTCAAGGCCCCACTGTATCTTAAGAAAGAACTACCTGGGCAATGAGGGAAGGGGTAAGACAAACCACCTGCGATAGAATCACCTGGGAAACTTCTTCAGACATATTTCATGTTTGAATTTTCTGAAGGTGAAGGCCGGGAATCTACATTTAACCACCATTCCAGGAGATTCTGATACATAGTTAAATCTCAATCAACTGGACTATTAATTTTGCCTCTCCTTGACTCCCTCCCACTCCCACTTAAATGGCCCTAATGACTTCCCACAATGCTGTGGGGTCTCTCTGACTCTCCTTTATGAGAGAGTCACTCCTGACTGATTTTTCTTCCAAAAAGCAGCTCCAATTATGCTATGTCCTTGAATAAACATCCCCAAGGGCTACCCCTTGACTGTCCAATCCTCACACTCATCTTTCCAGTATTACTGTGCGCACCTACTCCCTGACTGGTCCCAGTCCCACAGGTCCGTAACTGTCACAGAACGAGCTACACACATCAACTTCTCAACCTTGTTTCCACATGGAAGCCACACCCACTGCCCGTCCTATGCCCCCTCAGGGACTACTTCACCTGCCACCTTCTCCCTGAATCTCTCCCTGGTCGCACACCTGGCGTGGTCTTTTTCCTGTAAGCGCTTGTCATTCTGGTGCCTCTCTTACGGTGCTGCTCATATCCCTCCTTTTGCTGTTCTGCGCTAGTTTTGCCCACTCGATGGGTTCCAGGAGAGCAAAGACTAAGTTAGTAAACTCAGTGCCCAGCACAGTGTGTGGAACAGAATTGGATCTCGAGAAATGTTTACAGAATGACTGAGTGATTCCACACGACTAGACTAAAGCCACGAGGACAGAGGCTGAGCATTAATCCTTTTTGTAACTCCCGGAGCACTTTGCAGTGTTTTACATTGATTAGGTATCAGGAACCTGGTGAGTTAAATGTAACATTTGTCAACTCTTTTTTTTCCCTTTGATGACAAATTACTTAAAAAACACAACACAGACAAGATTTCAATACTAGATTCTGAAGTCTACTGACTTTCTTCGTAACAATAATAACTATGACCAACTTTGGAACCTTAAATGGAATACGTGTCCCTATTTAGGAATACTAAAATTACACCAAAGTAAGGTGACTATTTTCCCTACAGTTGAGACCAGCAGTTATACTGTTTTACTTCATGAGACACACTTAGATTCTAACTATAGCATTTGATATAAAGAGCTTTCAAAAACAGAGGTTCTATTTTCATTTAAATTACTAAATAAAGAATAGGCTTAATACACATATGTGTGTATATACATATATATCTCTATATAAATATATAGCCAACTACTTTTTTAAATTATATTTTATTTTTAGTGTTGGCATTGTTACAGATGTCCCCCATTGCTCCCCCTCTTTGTTCCCCTCCCCCCAGGCCCACCCTCCCTCCCCTGGCCCTCACTGCATTCTTATCTGTGTCTATGCACTATGCATGTCCCTTTACCTTCTCTCATCCTGTCTGCCCCACCCCCTTACTCCCTGACAGCTGTCAGTCTGTCCTCTGTATCCATGCTTCTGTTTCTAGTCTGTTTGTCACTTTATTTTGTTCATCAGATTCCACATATAAGTGAGACCATACGGTACTTGTCTTTCTCTGACTGGCTTATTTCATGCTATCTATCGCAAAGGGTTAGAGATCCTTCTTTTTAACAGATGCATAGTGTCCCATTGTGTAAATGTACCACAGCTTTCTTATCTATTCATCTAGAAAAAAATATTCTAAAAATTTATATGGAACCAAAAAAGACCCAGAACAGCCTCAGCAATCTTGAGAAAGAAGAACAAAGTTGGAGGGATCACAATACTGGATATTAAACCACAGCACAAGGCCATTGTAATCAAATCAGCCTGGTACAGGCACAAGGACAGGCCTATAGATCAGTGGAACAGAACAGAGAGCCCAGAAATCAACCCATGCCTCTATGGTCAATTAATAATTGACAGAGGAGCCAATTACTTTTAATTAAACTTTTTATTTTGTGATCATTGTAGGTCCACATGCAGCTGTAAGATATAATGTAGAGAGACCCCATGTACCTGCATCCGAGGTATCACAACCAGGACAATGGCATTGACACAATCCACTGATCTATTCGGACGTTTCAGTTTTTCTTGTACTTGTGTGTGTTTGTGATACGTAGGCAGTTTTGTGTATCCACAGCCACAGTCAGGATACACAATAGCCCATGATCACAAGGATCCCGCACTGGCCTGGAGAACCATCCCCGCTTCCCTCCCTAATTCCTTCAACCACGAAGCTGTTATCTATTTCTATAACTTTGCCGTTTAAAAATATTACATAAATATTTTTAGATAGATTTGCAAATAATATCATACAGTACTTAGGAATGGCTTTTTCACTCGCCCTGGAGATTCACTCAAGTTGTCAAATGTATCAATAATTCATTCCTTTTGTTATTGTTGTTTTATTAACTATAGGTCCATAATTTACATTAGGGGTCATTCTTTGTGTTGTAAATTTTCACAGATACAAAGAACAGATTAGGGTTGCCAGAGGTGGGGGTGGAAGGAATGGGTAAACTGGTTTTGTGTTTATTTGTTGTGGTTTTTTAGTTTAAATAGATTGGAAAAAACAACAACAATAAAAAACAAAACAAAACAGGGTTTCTTATAGAAAGGCTGAGTCCATCGCTGGGTAACAAAAATAATAAATACAAGTTGAACTTCATGAAGTTCAACTTACCTATTTTTTCCTTCACACATCATGCCGTGGTATTGCATCTAAAAACTCATTGCCAAAGGACTAGTCGCATTTGCAAATCGATGGACGTTGGTCTGGCACTCTGACATCACGTATAGGAAGCCCCCCCCCCCCCCCAGTCAGGTTTCCCAATTGGAGCTCCTTTTCAGGGCCACGACTCCTTAGTTCTCTATACCCCACACTAAGATCTTGAAGCTCTTTTTGCTGCTCTGGCCTGAAGGTGAGAGCTCTAGTTTTTCATCCTTGCTCTACCATTAACCAGTTAGTTTTGAAACCCTGGGCAAGTCACACCTCTTACAGCTTCCTTTCCTCAACCAGGAAAATGAGGAAGGCACCAATCTACACGATTCACCTTCTCTTCAAATCCAATCAAAGCCAAGGTGCTGAGCATAATCAATTAATTTTATTTCTCATTTATTTATTGTTGCATATCTCTCCTTACATGTTACGTCTCCTCTTTCATGTTCATTATAGCCAAACCCTTCACTTCTGGATTATTGCTAAGCTGTTTTAAGTTCTTTAGTGTAGATGTGACTTGTTCAACGTAGCTTTAAGTGAGATTTAGCCAGGAGGTACATACTAGTAGGTCAGACTGGAGCTAGAAAATGACTTATGTCACCTGTTAAAATGAGGAGCAAATCTCTCCCAAGCCTCTTGTCTGAGTCCCTCAGAAGCTGGCTTTTACTTCACACAAATCCTCAACACCTGGCCTGTCCAACCTCACCTCGTATCGTTAATGCTGCTGTTCCTACAAGGAGAGTTTTACCTTTTTGGATGGTACCCAGAGTGTTTGATATATGTCAGCTCACCACAATGAAACCAGGGAACTAGACAGGCAGACTTCTGTGAGAGCTGCTCCCAGTTCAAGAGCATATGAAGCCACTCTTTCTGGTGGCAATGGTAATTAATGAACACTGGACAACAGAATCTTTTTGTAATGTAGTGGATTTTTTTTAGTAGTGATAGGAAGCGTTTGCCTTTTTGTAAATGTAATTCCAATAGTTTCTTTAAGGCCAATTTCCTCCATGAAGTAAGTAATTTTTCCTTCCTCTCAATTTTTTATTTTCCTTTCCTTTAATTCTTTTTTTAAATATATTTTTTATTGATTTTTTACAGAGAGGAAGGGAGAGGGATAGAGAGTTAGAAACATCGATGAGAGAGAAACATTGATCAGCTGCCTCCTGCACACTCCCCACTGGGGATGTGCCCACAACCAAGGTACATGCCCTTGGCTGGAATCGAACCTGGGACCCTTCAGTCCACAGGCCAACGCTCTATCCACTGAGCCAAACCGGTTAGGGCTCCTTTAATTCTTATAGAAATATTTATTGTACCGACAAACATCCCCTTTTCTAACTTTCTCTAATGAATACTATAAACATAAGAGAGATGATATGTAAAAACAGTCACTCAACATTAATGGGAGAATATATATAAAGGTGGTTTACAAATTAAACAACTGGCTGCTGATCTCTTTTGGTAGAGGATTGATGTATTTTTTAAATTGTTTTAGAATATTTAATAAGAAGAATATTAAAGTGTGTTTTCTTGGCTCTGGCATCTGCTGATATATGAAGATGTCTGGGCAAAGTATATGCAGTTACCAATTAACATATGTCTAATGTAGGCAGATATTCAAACAAGCAGTGAGTAATGTTATAGAAATGCTGGCAGGGTAACTTACTCTATTATTAGATAAGCTCTGAAGGCTCCATTTATAGTTCGGTCACGAAACCACCAGTGCCAATCGTGACCAAATGATTGTCACTGTTAGTCTTAATGATAGTCGAGAAGCTGTTTTTGCTACTCGGGCATTTTCTCTCTTTCACATTCTCTCCTTGCTGCTGAAGCCTAATTTGAATACCTTCTTCAGAGAAAGGCCACAGTTGGAGGGGTGAAGGGTTCCACGGGGCAGAGTAGAGTGGGGCTGCCTGGTCCCACCGGTCCTCTCAGCTCACACTCCCAGGACGCTCACTGCTCTCCCTCCATCAACACCAAGAGATTTCCCCAAGAAGTGAGTCCTAAGCTATTTGAGTTCCTATCACTAGTGAAAAAGCATCCATTATGTTACAAAAGGATTCTGTTATCCAGTGGTTGTTAATTACAGTTGAGACCAGAAACATGCAAAGTTGCAGAGAAAACAATTGCAGGAAACATCTGAAAGCAATTCTCCCCGTCTTTGTTGTTCTGCTACTCACGGCAAGTCTTCCAAACTGGAGGCTTCATGTCTTGGATCCAAGAGATCATAACCGCATTCATTGTAGATTTCCAAGTAAGAAATGTGCGTTGTGTATATTTTGCTGCTGTCCTGGTAGGAAAAGGGAGAGACGTGATTTAATGGCTCTGACGACGACTCAGCGCAGAGGAAGATGAACACATTGATCGTGTAGCTTCCTCACAGTTTCTCTCTCACTTTGTATGGTTTACATGTTCGGTCCGTGACCCTTTCAAGTTGCCAGCTACCATACGCACGAAGCTTTTTTTTTTTTAATGGCCAATACCTATGATTACAAGCAACTTCAGTCTGTTACTTTGTATTGGTTCCACGTAATACGTAAAAAGTCAATACACATTTACAATGAGCTGACGTGGTTGCAGAACTCTATAACACCATGTTTTACTTTCCAGCCAAAAAAAAGAAAGGTTACTAAGAAAAAATAAATTTACATTCTGTGAATAGTCTATTCATAAAAGAACACAGCATTGTTACTTTGGCTTAAAAATTTCAGTAGCAAAAGAGTTTTCATCTTTAATCACAAATCTTTTTAAACTTTTCGTACTTCCTAAGCACATAAATAGATAATGGACAATAATTAGCTAATGTAAAGTTAATTCAGGGGACAGAAATGGTTTAGGTCAATTAGGTAATCGCAGGGTGTATATTACCAGTCCATTGTCTATACTAGTGATGGCGAACTCAGAGGTGACACGCGAACTCATTTTTTTGGTTGATTTTCCTTTGTTAAATGGCATTTAAATATATAAAATAAATATCAAAAATATAAATCTTTGTTTTACTATGATTGCAAATATCAAAAAATTTCTATATGTGACACGGCACCAGAGTTAAGTTAGGGTTTTTCAAAATGCTAACATGCCGAGCTCAAAAGGTTCGCCATCACTGGTCTATACCTTACCTGGTTAGTTTTTCTGGCCCAAGTGGCAAATCAGGACTGTCCTGCTACTGATTAGAGAGAGGTATTTTCTACGGGCCATGCTGAAATGCAATGGCATAGGTGTCAATGAAATCAGGATAAAAAGTCGAGGGGACTGGTTCTCTGGTTCTTGTCTTAGCTCTGTCAACAGACAGACAGACAGACACACACACACACACACACACACACACACACACACACACACACAAACCCACTTCCACTGCAGTGGAATAAAACGGAATTTTTCAGCTCTTGAGAAACTTCCGAGTTCAGTTTTTAATACAAAATATCAAATAATAACACCTGTTTGTTGTAAGAGGGGAACATATTTGCGCCTGTGCCAGAGGTCAGCAGGTTGTCATAGTGAATGTTCAGAGAGGGTTTACTTAAGGACTAACTTCCTGGTTAGTTCTCAACCACATCCAAGACAACCCATTTACCAGGCGTCGTTCAAGGGAAGAGAGGACCAGTCGCGAAGATGGGGAGAGAAGCTGGAGTCCTACTTCTACCAGCTGTGAGCCCTGCTATGTCAGGCCTCAGTTGCCATAGCATTCAAGTAAGGAAGGTGGATAATTAAAATTAATACAATTCTCTGCTCCTGAAATGGCTCAAACGATTGAAATAATGATACCACCATTTCACTAAAACAAATACATGGAAAAGTAAAGCAAGTTTCAGCCAGCACATGACTGTAGGAAAATGTTCAAGCTCCAGCTGAACTTTCACGTTCTCCTGCTCTGTGAAGGTGACGGCATGGACTGAATCTCCATGCAAAAAAATTTCTCCCAACTGCACGTTGGAAACACTACCCATGTGGGTGTCTCTGGCTGCTTCTCCTGCAAGGGATCCATGAGTTACACTAGCATCCTAGTGCCGTGGTGGCACCATTCCAACATGATCCTTTGGCTTGAAGTTTGGCTTAGTGCAGGCATCAGAGACAATAAATACTAGACAGACTCTGTGTGGCCTTTATTCTAACGCAGTGTTTCCTAAAACATTCCATGAAATACTCATGGAAAACTGATCCATGGTCCACACATACAGGGTGGGCAAAAGTAGGTGTGCAGTTGTGGGTATGCAAAACAGAGTTTATTCTTGCATTATTATTTATTAATTACTAGAGACCCGATGCACAAAAATTTGTGCACTTGGGGGGGGGTCCCTAAGCACGGTCTGTGCCCTCTTGCAGTCTGGGACCCCTTGGGGGATGACCACCTGCTGGCTTAGGCCTACTCCCTGGGAGATTGGGCCTAAGCTGGCAGTCAGACATCCCTCTGGCAGCCCAGGAGCCCTCGGGGATGTCCACTTGCCAGTGGGGAGCACGCCTAAGCTGCAGTCGGACATCCTTAGTGCTGCTGAGGAGGCGGGAGAGGCTCCCACCACCACCGCTGTACTGGCAGCCGTCAGCCTGGCTGTGGCTGAGGAGAGCTCCCCCTGTGGGAGTGCACTGACCACCAGAAGGCAGCTCCTGCATTGAGCGTCTGCCCCCGGGTGGTCAGTGTGTCATAGTGACCAGTCATTCTCAGTTGTTCTGCTGTTAGGGTCAATTTTCATGTTACCATTTTATTATATAGGAGTGCCTGGCCAGCCTGGGTGAGGGGCTGATGGCTGTTTGCAGGTTGGCCACAGCCCCTTCAGGATGGGGGTCCCCCCTGGGGTGCCTGGACAGCATGGCTGAGGGGCTGAGGGCCGTTTTCAGGCTGACCACATCCCCTTCAGGGTGGGGGGGTCCTGCTGGGGTGCCTGGCCAGTCTGGGTGAGGGACTGAGGCCTGTTTTCAGGCTGGCTAAGCCCCCCCCAGTGGGGACCCTCACCTATGAGGGTGTGGCCAGCCTGGGTGAGGGGCTGACGGCTGTTTGCAGGCTGGCCACAGCCCCCAGCCACCCAAGCTCCCAGTGGAGGCTGGCTGGAAGCAGGTATCTGGGATTTATTTGTCTTCTATAATTGAAACTTTGTTGCCTTGAGCGGAGGCCACAGCTGGCCAGGGCAGGCAGGAAGCTTGGCTTCCTCCATCGCCCAGGCAACCAAGCTTCCTGCTTGCTCCAGCTCTGTGGCTGCCAGCCGCCATATTGGTTGGGTTAATTTGCATATAGTCGCTCTGATTAGCTGGTGCGTGTGGCTTAGGGTGTAGTGAAGGTACGGTCAATTAGCATCTTTGTCTTTTATTAGTGTAGATTGTATTATTTTCCATATGGACCATTGTAAACCCACTTTCACCCTACCTTGCATATGCTGTTTCTCTCTGGAAGATTCTCAGAGCACATTATAGGCCAGTGCAACATGTTTCTAAAACTTATCTGAAGATATCTTAAATATTCCACAGATTATGGTTTGAGGTTTGAGCATACACCTCTGAACTCATCTTAGCATCAGACAAAAGACGAGGCTTAAATATGGGCTCTGTCATTTATACCCTTATCCTCAGATGAAAATGGGGACAGTCATCCTTATCTTGCAGATCTGTTGTGAGAAAAATAGGGCTCTGTATTTAAAATACAACCTAAATGTGTGGCCTTCAATAGACTCCAATAAACTGTAGCTGTCACTGCTGTTCTTGTTGGTGTTGTCATTATGTTGACTCTTTCTAAAACCTTCAAATGGAGAATTCAGTATGTGAATATGAAAAGAAAGGAAAAGAGGCAGAAAGAACAGCTAACTTGAATGTTTATTTACACTGGAGAAACTCTCTCTTTCCAGAAATTAGAAGGAATGAGAAAAAGTCAGGAAGATGGCAGGCCCACGGCCTGAGGTGACAGGGATAATGCAGTTGGCCCCCAGCTGCTGCAGTTTCTGGGCTTTCACTGGAGTAGAATTCGCTGAGCGATGTGGGAGCTGCCGTTCCTTAGGGCCATCTCTCAGTGCTCCGGATTGTAATGTAACACACGTGTGGCCTGCACACAGCCTTCTCTTCTGCCCCAAACAAGTCTGAGCCTCACAGTACTCTAAAAGAATGAGCAGTGATTTCTAGAATAATGGACTCAATTTTCTTCTTTTAAAATCCTTGAGAATGTGCTCCTACCGCACTCACAGGCACTTTCGGGCCCGGTATGTACTCGCTCTTAGTTTATCTCGGAATAAATACTCCGCATACGTCAAATGTTTTATTCAAGAACCCTAGAGAGCTCACGGGGCTTCTACGGCTACGACTGGGGACAGCCGAGCACCTGGCTGCATGTCGCGGCTGCACTTTCTGGACTCTCTCCGTGATGCACTCCAGCTGCCTCTGCCTGGCTTTGCCGCAGCTCAGTTAGATTACAAGGGACGTGCTGCTCCCCCAGCGTGGAAACTGTCCATTTACAGAGAGCTGTCCTGGCTGTAAATTGGTCCGATGGCCGCTCTCCAAACGCAGGGTCACTCAGGATGAAATGGGGTCTAGAGTAATGTCAATGACAAACACATAAAGCAATGCACCTGACACATGGCAGGTACTGGGGCGACAGGTAGACTTTTAGAACTGTATTTGTGTGTGTGTGTGTGTGTGTGTGTGTGTGTATGTATTTTGATAGCCATAGACAAAATTTGCAAAGAGACAAATATATTTTCTATTAGGAAAGGATTTGTTTATTCTGTTTAACTTTATCAGGGGGAATGACTTTATGTGTTCTGCGTTTCAAAGGGTTATTTGAAATTGGTCAGGGATATTTTTTCTATATGCCTATATAGCACAAGAAGTCCTCCATGTTGTCACTAGGTTTTGTGGCTTTAAGAGAAATGACATGTAATCAAACCAATTTTACCAGAGGCTAATTGACATACATAAGAGTTAAGTTCCTACAGCATCTATCAGCGTCATAATGTACCTGCGGAAGGAGAGGGCATTATCCGAGAACCTGCTGCATGTGGACACTGACAGCTGTAATAATAACAACCACATACTGAGCACCTACATCATGCCAAGAACTGGGCGATGTCTTTAAGTACAGAAAGCTCAGCTCTCAGAGAAACCCCACATCCAGAACCTTTAAGAAACTGCCCAAGTCCACGGGCTGCAAGTAGAAGCAGGCTGGCCTGCACAACTCCCATGACCCCACCTAGACACCAGGCTTCCACATTAGGCCTCAGCAATAAACACCAAGACAAAGCATATCCCCAGTTTCTGAGATCTGGGGAAAAACAAAGCAGCTAATGTCAGAAATAAATGAATAAATGAAAAGAAGGGGTTTGGATTCAACATATACACTATACTCAACTCTTTCTGTTCCTAATATTCTGGCATGCGGAGTTGGAATGTGTGAGCTAGTGAGAGATGAGCTGAACTAATGGGTAATTGCTACTTTATGGCTGGAAATTAGAATTATGCAGATCTCAGCGATTTCTTCTCATTGTTGCAACTTGAAATGCAAACAGAATACAGTTGAGAAATGTTGCGATGACTGTTACACTGACCTAGTTAGGGCATTGGTTATACAGAATGAGGACAACCGAGCACTTGGAACTGCTAGGGACTGTGGAGAGCCTCTAGTACAACTCACTCCCTGCTCCCAAACAGGGAGAGCTGAAGCTCAGAGAAGTGGCTCACAGGAGAGAATGTGTTTAGACACAACCAGCACAGCAGGTCCAGCCTGGGCAGCGGGCATGGAGACGGAAAGCACATGCACTTCTGGCATGGGCCTCCAACCAGCTACTTACAAGGACCCAGAGAAAGACATTTAATCTGAGACTTAGTTTTCCCAAATATAAAATGGGGATAAGGATGCCTACTTTGTTAGTTGTATTATATGTTGTATTAAATATTTATAAAACAAATGGCACTCGGAGCCACACAATAAATGATGCTTATAATATAGACAGGGAATTTGTCTTTATAGAAATACTAGAGGCCCGGTGCACAAAATTCGTGCACGGGGGTGGGAGGGGGTTTCCCTCAGCCAGGCCTGCACCCTCTCACAATCCAGGACCGCTGGCTCCTAACTACTCACCTGCCTGCCTGCCTGATCGCCCCTAACTGCCTCTGCCTGCCTGCCTGACCACCCCCTAACTGCCTCGGCTTGCTGGTTTGATCACCCCCCAACTGGTCCCTTGCCAGCCTGGTCACTCCCTCACTGCTCCCCTGTTAGCCTGGCTGACCCATAACTGCTCCCCTGCTGGCCTGGCCACCTATAACTGCCTCTGCCTCGGCCCCCGCCACCATGGCTTTGTCCGGAAGGACATCTGGAAGGATGACTGGAATATGTCTGGTCTAATTAGCATATTACCCTTTTATTAGTATAGATTAATTGCAATTGGACTTTTACTCCAGTAAATTCCTGTGGGCTTCCATTAAAAGTGTGATAACAGTTGTCCAATTCAGTGCTTTAGCAGCTAAAATAAAGGTCTGTCTTGGCAAAAGGGCATTCTCCAGTTTCTTAATGAAGAATAAGAAATATTAGCTGTAAAATGTGTTGTCTGTTCTTTTAACCTACGTGTGTGTCAGAGGAGCTCCCTCTGAGCATTTGCTGGAACAGCATCCCTTTAATGAGAGGCACCTTCTCAATTTCCGCGTCGTCAGCAAAACTCCAAACTCCCCTTCAATCTCAAGGACAGAGATATTCCACAATAATACTTTCTCACTTTGATACAATATAATAAAATGTCAAAATAACTATTTTGCACACAATAAATTTCTGCTGAATATATCAAATGCAAAATGAACTTATAGTTCTATACCTTTTGCAACTCCTCAAAAATGTACGACAGTGTCCTTGGGATAATGCCTCTGTCGCTGTAGCGCTCTGCGCCACCCGTGATGGTGAAGGTCTTACCACTGCCTGTTTGCCCGTATGCAAAGATGGTGCCATTGTAACCAGCCAGGGCACTACAAGAAGAAATGACACACTGTTAACATTAAAATAGGCTAATTGCATTTGTATTAAATGGGTCATATTATAGAAGCAGCCACTGGATTCACCACTATTGAAGACATCGATAGGGATGTTTGTGTATGTGCGTATCTAGATAGATTTACTTTTTGAACCAAGAACATCAGCATAATGATCTTTTTCTCTCAGAAAAGACCCACAACAAAAATGGGGCCAGGCATCTTACATATTTTCTTTGTTAAAAATCATGTTTTTAAATTTTAGGGTGGTTTTATATTTACAGAAAAGTTGCAAAGATAGTACAAAGAATTCACATATACCTCACACCCACTTTCACCAATGTTCCCCTATTGTCATTTATCACAACTAATGAATCAATATTGATACATTACAAACTTTATTAAAATGTCCTTGGTTTTTACTTAATGTCTTCTTCTTTTCAGCCTTAATAAGATATAATTGACATACAACATATGCAAGTTTAAGGTGTGCAATGTGATGATTTGATGTGAAGTCCATGTCAAGACGAATGTTGAATTAGTGTTTGGGGTATCTTTGGATAAATCTCCAGAAGTGTAATCACTGGGTCGCAAGGCAGGTCCCTTTTTAATCTTTTGAGAAAACTCCATACTATTTTCCATAGTGGCCGCACTAGTCTGCATTCCCACCAGCAGTGCCCCCGTGTTCCCTTTTCGCCACATCCTCACCAACACTTGTTGTTTGTTGATTTATTGATGATAGCCACTCTAACAGGTGTGAGGTGATGTCTCATTGTGGTTTTAATTTGCAGTTGTCTGATGATTAGTGACATTGAGCATCTTTTCATATATTTATTGGCCATCTGTATGTCCTCTTTGGAGAAGTGTCTATTCAGATCCTTTACCCATTTTTAAAATTGGATTTTTTTTTTTTTAGTGTTGAGTAGTATGAGTTCTTTATAAGTTTTGGATATTAACCCCTTATCAAATGTGTCATCTGAGAATATGTTTTACCATTTAGTAGGTTCTTTTTTATTTTGTGATGGTTTCCTTTGCTGTGCAAAAACTTTTTAGTCTGATGTAATCTCATTTATTTTATTTCTCTTTTATTTGTTTCCCTTGCCTGAGGATGGATATACATACATACATATATATACACAGATATATATGTATACCAGTATATATACACATATATACATATATACACACGTTTTATATATATATACATATACCCATATCCCTATGGTCATTGCAGCATTATTTACAATAGCTATAGAAGTAACCCAAGTGCCATCAATACACGAGGGGATAAAGAAGTTGTGGCACATATATACAATGGAATATTACTCGACCATAAAGAAGAATGAAATCTTACCATTTGCAACAGCATGGGATGGACCTAGAGGGTATTATGCTCAGTGAAATAAGTCAGAAAAAGACAAATACCATATGATTTCACTTATGTGTGAAATATAAAGAACAACATAAAGGAACAAACAAACTGCAAACAGATTCATAGAAATAGAGAACTGGTGGTTGCCAGAGGGGAGAAAATGTCGGGGCACTAGGTGAAGGGGGTGAAAGGACTAAGAGGCACAGACTGGAAGGTACAAAATATCTAGGGGAAGTGAGTAAAGCCTAGGAAATACGGTCAATAATATTGTGATAACTATGTATGGTGCCAGTTGGGAACTGGAAACATCATGGTGAACGCGATGTAAAGCATATGGTTGTCTAACCACTAAGCAGTACTCCCCAACTCCATACGTAATTTAAAAAACTAACGCCATGTCCCTATGTTTTCTTTTAGAAATTTTAGTTTGGGGTCTTTTGTCTTTAATCTATTTTGAGTTAATTATAGTGAGTGGTGTAAGACAGGAGTCCAATTTCATTCTTTTGCATGTGAATATCCAGTTTTCCCAGCACCATTTATCAATGAGGCTATCCATCCTTTCTCCTTGTAGTGTTCTTGGCTAACTTGTCAAATATTAGTTGACTGTATATGTATAGGTTTATTTCTGAGCTCTTAATTCTGTTCCATTAGTCTATGTGTCTGTTTTCTGTACCAGTACCAAATAATTTTGATTACCGGAAGTGTGTAATATAGTTTGAAATCAGGAAGTGTGATGCTTCTAGCTTGGTTCTTCTTTTTCAGAATTGCTTTAGTTGTTCGGGGTCTTTTGTGGTTCCATATGAATTTCAGGATTTTTTTTCTATTTCTGTGAAAACTGCCTTTAAATCTATAGGTAGCTTTGGGTAGTATGGACATTTTAACAATATTCTTCCAATCCACAAACATGGGATAGCTTTCAATTTATTTGTGTCTTCTTCAATTTCTTTCATCAGTGTTTTGTAATTTTTCACTGCCTTGTTTAAATTTATTCCTAAGTTTTTAATTGCTTTTGATGCTGTTGTAATTGGATTTTAAAAAATTTCTTCTTCAAATACTTTATTGTTACTGTATAGAAACACAGCTGGTTTTTGTATGCTAATTTTGAATCTTGAAACTTTCCTGAATTGGTTGATTAGTTCTGAGAGTTTTTTGGTGGAGTCTCTGGCATTTTTCACATCTAAGATTGTATAATCTGCAAACAGAGACAATTTTACTTCTTAGACAACAATTGGATGCCTTTTATTTCTATTTCTTGCCTAATTATTCTGACAAGGATTTCAAGTACCATGTTAAATAGGAATTGTGAGAGGGTACCCTGGTCTTGTTCCTGATTTCAGTGGGAAAGATTTTTAACATTTCACCATCTAGTATAATGTTAGGTATAGGTCTGCCATATATGGCCTTTATTATATTGTGGTATATTCCTTTTATACCCAATTTGTTGAGCATTTTTATTACATAAAAATGTTGATTTTTAAAAAATTTTTCTGTACCTATTAAAATTACCATTAGTTTTTATCTTCTGTTCTATTAATGTGGTGTATCACATTTATTTCTTTGTGCATGTTGAACCATCCTTGCATTCCAGGGATGAATCCCACTTGATCATGGTGTATGATACTTTTAATGTGCTATTGAATTCAGTTTGCTAGTATTTTGTTGAGAATTTTTGGATCTACATTCAGAGAAATTGGTCTTTAGTTTTCTATTTTTCTTTTTTTGCAGTGTCTGGCTTGTTAAAAGGGTAATACTGGCCTCATAAAATGAGTTTGGAAATGTTCCCTCATCTTCAATTTTTTTAGAAGAGTTTGAGAGTAATTAGCATTACTTTAGAAATGTTTGGTAGAATTTATCAGTTAAAACCATCTGGTTTTAGGCTTTTCTTTGTTTGGAGGTTTCTGATTACTGATTTAATCTCCTTACTTGCTATTATTCTGCTTAAATTTTTATTCACAATTTAGTCTTGGAAGGTTGCATGCTTCTAGGAATTTATCCATTTATTCTAAATTATCCAACGTTTTTGGCATATAATGTTCATGGTAGTCTCTTATAATCCTTTGTATTCCTGTTGTGTCAATTATAATGTTTCCTCTTTCAGTTCTGATTTTATTTATTTGGGTCTTCTTTCTACGTAGTCTAGCTGAAAGTTTGTCAATTTTGCTGAACTTTTCAAAAAAGCAAGCTCTTAGTTTCATTGATTTTGTAATAGTTTTTCTAGTCACTATTTTGTTTATTTCTATTCTGGACTTTGTTATTTTTTTTCTTCTGCCAACTTTGAGCTTAGTCCTTGTTTATCTAGTTCATGAGGTATATATTTAGGTTACCTGTGAGCTTCATTTTTCTTAATGTAGGCACTTATAGCTATAAACTTCCATCTTAGAACTGCTTTTGTTGCCTTTCATAAGTTTTAGTATGGAGTGTTCCCATTTTTCTTTAAAAGTATTTTTTATATACCTTTTGACTTTCTTGACCTATTGGTTGTTTAAGAGTATGTTGGTTAATTTCAACACATTTGTGGATTTTCCAGTATTCCTCCTATTATTGATTTTTAGTTCATACCATTGTGGTCATAAAAAATACTTGGCATGACTTTAATTGTATTAGATTTGCTAAGGTTTTTTTTGTGATCTACAAATGATTTATCCTAGAGAATGTTCCATTTCTGCTGGAGAAGAACGTGTCTGCTGCTGATGATAGGTGGAATGTTCTGTATTTATAGGTTAAGTGCATTTTTCTAAGGTACAGTTAACACCCAATGTTTTCTTATTGATTTTCTGTGTGGATGAATTATCCAATGTTGAAAGGGGAGTACTGAATTCCACTATTATTATAATCGTTCTCCCTTCATATCTGTTAGTATCTACTTAATTTATTTAGGTGCTGCCTATTTTAGATGAATACATATTTATAACTGTTATATCCACATGATGAATTGACTTATTATTATATAACTAGAGGCCCATTGCATGAAGATTTGTGCAATAGGCCTTCCTTCGCCTGGCTGCTGGCATCAGTTTTCCTCCGGCACCTGGAACCCAGGCCTTTGGTCCGGCCACAGCGGAGAAGCCAAGCCTCGAGCCAAGCAAGTCTTGGCTTCTCCACTCGGGCCACAGCAGTGAGGCTTGGCTTCTCCGCTCCAGCCGCAGCAGAGAAGCCAAGCCCCTTCAGTCTTCAGTCATCTTCAGTTGTCTTCAGTCTTTGCTCCGTGCCTGCATATGCAAATTAACCGCCATCTTTGTTGGGTTAATTTGCATACTCATCCTGATTGGCTGGTGGGCATAGCAGAGTGACACCAATTTGCATGTTTCTCTTTTGTTAGTGTAGATGACTTTCTTTGTCTGCTTGTTACAGTTTTTGGCTTAAAGTCTACTTTGTATGATATAAGGATAGCCACTCTTGCTTTCTTTTGGTTTCTTTTTGCATGAAATACTTTTTTCCATCCCTTCACTTTCTGTCTATGTGTGTCCTTAAAGTTGCAGTGAGTTACTTATAGGTAGCATATACCTAGCTCTTGTCTTCTAATTCATTCAGTCACTCTTTGAATTTTGATTGAAGAATTTAACCCATTTACATTTAAAGTAACTATTGATAGGTAAGGA